TCAGCCGGCTGGTCGCGCGCGCGCCCACCTGGCTGCTGCTGCTGGGCGGCAGCGCCGGCCTCGCCGGCGCGTGCCTGCTGTTCGCGCTGCCGGTGGCGTCGTCCTCGTCCTACTTCGCCGTCGGCCTGCCGGCCCTGGTGCTGTCGGTGCTCGGCGCCGACGTCGCCTGGCCCACCCTCACGCTGTTCACGTCGCGGGCGCTGGCGCGCGGGGACCAGGCGGTGGGCGGCGCCCTCCTCAGCGCCGTCGGCCAGGTCGGCCGCGCCGCCGGCCTCGCCGCCGCCACCGCCCTGCAGACCGCCGTCGTGGCCCGCCGCCGCGGCGTTTCCGTCCGGGAGGCCGCCGCCGCGGGGGTCGTCGCGCGCGCCGACCCGGCCTCCCTCGCCGGGCTACGCGCCGCTAACTACTTCCACTTCGCGCTGGCCGTCGCCTGCATGCTCGTCGTCGTGCTGGCGTTCCGCGGGACCGGCATCGTGGGCCGGGTCGAGCAGAAGGCGCCGGCTTCGTGCGTTGGCGATGGTGAGGGTAGGAGGGTCGACGGGGAGAAGGAGGAGGAGGAGGAGGAGGAGAAGAAGGAGGAGGAGGAGGAGGAGGAGGAGGAGGAGGAGGAGGAGGAGGAGAAGAAGAAGAAGAATAATAATAATAATACGGGGGGTTCGCAGGTCCCTACCACACAAATAGAATGAATAGGAGGGAGGTGGCGTTTTTGGATGGTCTATGCAGACGACATGAACCGGCACTTCCGGAAATTAATACATTTAAGAATGAACCTCTGCTATTGCCGATTGGTTGTTACTTCTACGTGCATGTTGACTCTCGTCTATCACGGCCGATGTGATCCCGGGAAGTCTGCCTATGTAGTATGTAGTCCCATCAGCGCCCCTGTTCCCCTCTCCCCTCTCTGCTCTGCCTCTCCTGCCGCCTCCACGCCGCCGCAAACCGACACTGCACGGCGGGGCCCAGCAGCGCCAGCAGCTGCACGGCGACACAGAGGGTGAAGGCCCCGCCGGCGCCGAGCGCCCGCACCAGGGGCGTGACGAAGGCGGTGCCCCCGGCCGCGACCAGGCACCGCGCCAGGTTCAGGCTGGCGGCGGCGGCGGCGCTGCGGTCCTCCTGCGCGAACACGTCCACCAGGTACGTGGAGACGGCGGCCTGGGCGGCGACGGCCGCGCCGCCGGTGAAGAAGGTGGCGGCGAGCGGCACGGCCAGGGGCACGCCGCGCGCGGCGAACTGGACCGACCAGCCGAAGAGCAGCACCGAGGCGCACTGCAGCAGCGAGAAGAGCGGGAGGAGGCGCAGGCGGGCGCGCTCGAGCGGGAACGCGTCGGCGTGTTCGTCGTCTTCTGCGTCCGTGATGGCCCGGGTTCCGGGTTCGGCGCGTTCGTGGCCCGCCTTCACGCGGCGGTAGTCGGCGTCGAGGAGCCGGCCGGACAGCAGGGTGCCGGCCATGGCGCCGACGCCGTTGGCCAGGAAGGTCAGGCCGATCTGCGTCTCGCCGCGCAGGCCGTAGTGGCGCGGCGACGCGAGCAGCGACGACAGCGCCGTGAGGCTCATCTGCCACACCGCGTAGTACACGGCCAGGAACGCGATGATGGGCGCGGCCTGCCTGCTGGCGAGGATGCGGAGGGGCCCAAGGACGTCGATGCGCTTCTTCTTCTTCTTCTTCTTCGCCGCCGCCGCTGCTGTTGCTGGCTGGGAGGGCGCGTCCCGGCAGGCGATCTTGCTGGTGGTGCGCTGGTACAGGTGCAAGGGGTACGCTGCGATCGGGTTCGACGGCGGCGTGCGGCTCCCGTTCGCGACGAGGGACCGGAGGGTTTCCGGTAGGAGCAGAACAAGTAGAACCAGGAAGACGCCGCTGTAGATGGTCAGGAACCAGAAGATGGCTCGCCAGCCAAGGGAGCCCGCAAGCGCACCCCCTATCACCGGCCCGACGGCGACAGGAACGAGTAGGCCGGCCTGGAAGATGCCCATGAAGCCGCCGCGCTCGGCTCGCGTGGTGATGTCGCCGATGACACCGGACCCGATGGCGATGGTGCTGGCGCTGCCGGTGCTTTGCAGACACCGCAGGACCACCAAGGTGGCGTAGTTCCTGGTCTCTGCCAGGCCGATGCATGCGCCCAGGAAGACGAGAAAGGTGCAGCAGTACGCGACTCTGCGGCCTTTGACGTCGGATACCGGCCCCCAGAGGCTGGGCGCCAGGCCCTGGAAGAGGAGATACGAAGTCACTGTGAGGTTGACCAGCTCAATGGAAACATCCAGGTCCCTGGCGATGGTGGGGAGGGCAGGGAAGTAGATGTTGGACGCAAAGCCCGAGACTGTGTGTGTATGTCAGTTGATGTGTACAGCCTTGCAGCGAGAACTTGGACTTACAGGTTGCAGCTGTCGACACCAAGAGCACTATCAGGGACTTCTGGCGTTTATCGAAGATACTGTAGGGCTCAGTGGCAGTCGGAGTCGCTGATGTCTCCGGCTCGGGTGCCTGAGTTGGCACGGGATCCTTGGCTTCATCTGGATCCATCATCCTTAAACTGTCAAAGCCATCAAAAAATTCTAAAGAGAAGACTATCCGTGGCCTTGAAGAAGTGTATGGGTGGCTCTTTGCTTTGTTTAAGTACTCAGATACTTAACTACCTGAGTACAACCGAAGGTTTGGCGTCATGCTCCTCATGTTCGGAGTTGAGTCTCAACTCCGGGCCTTGTGGCCAATCAGAACGTAGTGCCCGCCGGACTTGAGCACATGTATAATAGGGGAACCACGAAGGCCCGAAGGGAGTGTAGACTCCCGGGATTACGTACGTCCAACCTCAGGTAGCTACTCCTTATGGATCGACGCTGTGTGTTGGGAAGAGCCTCGACCCCTAACCGTCTTCAACAGCCCATACCAGAAAAGCAAGCTTCGCATTCGAGCAGATGGCGGTTACCGATGACTAGTTACGTGGTTGGGTTTGCTAGAAGCGAAACCCGGCCAAGTCACATAGCTCAACCACCATGCGTACAGTTCGTCACGGCAAAGAGCATAGTCCCGTATTCATCGACATCTTCCAGCCAGTGATCCACTCTGTCGCGTCTTTCCGCGACAGCTGCGACGCCCATGTCGGATGGTATAGGCCAGAGCTCGTCGATACGTAGGTTCTCCTTTGGCCAATCAACTAGATGAATATTATACGCCGTATTCCAATCGTGCCGATTTTCTGCTTGCCATAGAACCTTGGAAGATGGGGCGGGCAAGCCTCGTAACTCGGTGCCGACGAAAGTAGGGAGGCTGTCGTGTGCCGAGAGCACGCTGTCGAAGAGATACATGGTATAGAGCGTCCGTCTCTTCGCTTCGGCAACAATCCAGGCCTCCCATCTAGGACGAGCGCGTTGCACCTCGGCAGAACAGACGAGACCTCCTTGGGAGCACGTACATGCCAATTGCTGGAGATTCATCATTGCTTGGCGAAGAAAGGGGTTCGCGCTCTGACCGAGGCGGAAGAACAGGATCATCGAGTATAGCAGGTACGCTTGGAATGCTGCCAGCAAGGTCACATCGTCTTCGAAGGCGCCGGATGAGTCGAAGAGCGTGGTCATCTCTCTCTGGAGCGTCTCGGTAGCAACGCTGTCACTCCCAGCCAGAGGTCGCTCGCAGATGCGGGCCAAGCTGAGGCAGGTAGCGAGGGGTGGACGCAGCAATTGCGGCGCTGTCTGCAAGGCATGGATGAAGGGTGGACAGCCGCGACCGCGTACTATGGTTGATGCGTAGGACTTGAGGGTTCGATATATGAAGGACTGGATGGTGGCCGGATACTCCTTTACTGCTTGGTTCGGTATGGGGACATAGGTATTCAACCAGCGATTGCTGATATCCTCGGCGTTTATGGGGCAAAGAAGTTCCAGGTCAGTGAATTCAAGTTCATCTGGCCCGGTGCACATGCGAGAAGAGCGGCCAAGAGCTGGATGATTCAAAGGGACAGTGTTCGCAGTAGCCAAAGATGCGATGCCAGGCAAGCCACCATCTGCTGAAGTGCGCATTTCAGCCCGCGGTCCTCTGGTAGGCCTCACCAGTACCGGGCTCAGAAGCTGAGCATCAGCTTTCCTCACTGTTGGTCTCCCTGCTGAGCCCGGTGAGGCAGGTGAGGACGGCTCGGGATAGATGCATGTTCGGTCTCGTTTGGCACAGCGGGTGCATCCGGCTGGCCTGCGATCGCAACGGGCCTTGTCGGCTGAGCAGTTTTGGCAGACCTTCTGGCGCGTCGTAGCATATCTGGAGGGCCTCATAAGTGCCTGGCGTCCCAATCAGGGATCTCGGACGAAACGGGCTGTAAAAGATGGGAGGACGCGTCCAGTCTGCGCTGACGGCGGGTGGACAACCAACAGTAGTTGACGCAGCTGGGGTCAGCTGACGGTGGCTGACCTGCAAGCCACTGGGACATAACGGATCATACTTTTCGAGACTTGGTGTACGGTCTACGTAACCACCATTGATTGTCATTTTTGTCTGAAGACTACTAAGTACCTACCAGGTAGGTAGTCTTCAGACGAACAGGTAGATATCTTATTGTTAGGAGGAGACTTGCATCATCCAAATTCGCTGAGAGGTCATATGGTGAAGGGAGGAAACAGCGCGACAGAACAGCTGGATACGAGTTTCACCTAGGGTATGCAATGTCAATGGGGAAGGCCTGCACCGCCTAGATTAGTACCGTTCCATAATCCCTTGGATCGCAAACTCGACTCCCTCGTTCCTTTCCAAAGGCACCACCTCTCCCAAAGACCACGGCCATGTTCGCTGCTTGGAGTGATTGTTCTTTACGCTCCTCCAGCTTAAGCGATTCTTGACTGCTGCGGAGTTCGAGCTTGAGCAGCACCACCCAGACAATGACGACAAGATCATTCGATGGTCTTCCAAGTTCTCATCCCGCGGGTGAGAATACAGAAGGAATTAAGAAGCTGGGATCTGTGCATTGATAATGTATGATAAGAAATCAATATTTCATCCAAGCAGCAAGAGAAGTTGTCAAGGTTCGATGGTGTAGTTGGTTATCACGTCAGTCTAACACACTGAAGGTCTCCGGTTCAAGTCCGGGTCGAATCATTCTTTTGCCATGCTTGACTCTGGTCATCCACTTGCTTTCTTTTTTGATTCCTTCTAATACGTCCTCCTCTCTTTCAAGTGAAGAGAAGTAAATCTCTTTTATCCCAGAGTATGCCAATCGGTCTTCGGGCGTTGGGCATTGGGCCAGGCAGCGACTACCGTGGTAGAAGTTCAAGAGCACTACCTTACGCTTCTTGCTGCGGGATACCCATTCTACCGCCGGACATTACCATAGTGAAGACACACTGATGTACGATTCTTCGCCTTTTCTCATAGCTTCGGGAGTCGTCTTTCACGAAGACCGGTTTTCGTCACCGTCTGGCGAATTGGAGTACCGTTCAACCATCCCGCATTCGATCGCCGGGCACACCGCGATCGTATCAGCACATTGTGCCCCCGCCTTTGCTCTCCCCACACCAGCGCCGGCCTCTCGATGGTGATCTTGGCAGCTCCAACCTCCGCCAGAGAACCCCCACCTAACAGGCGGACGCGGGGTTCTCTCGCCTCGTCTCGCGCGCATTCAAAGCCTGCAAGCCTGGCACGCCTGGTAACCGTGGGTTGCATTCTGCCGGCAACCTGGCAAACCTGGCTACGCTACTGGGACTGCATGAACGGGATCGAGGTCAGGCGGTGATATCACCATTTCCTATATTGCCGCTCCTCATATCGTTGGCGGGGTACATTAGGTAAAGCTTAACTGCGAAGGAAGATGTCTGCCGAGCCTGCGTCGTCTTTAAGGATAGGCGCATCGTCCTCTTCCCCTGGGCACGAACCCAAGAGAGCAGACGAGGAATCTCGCAAGAAGGGTCTCAGTATGGTCTGTTTGCCTCTAGGACTCGTGGTGCTGGCGGCCGGCGTGGCCATCGGGGCCTACAACGGCTCCCCAGACCGTCTTCCGAGAGCTGAGATCCCGGCGCAGGCTCAGTTCATCGACCAGAAGGCCTTCAATGTGTTGGACAATGTGCCACCTCCAAGTGTTTCCAATGCCAGTACCGTGAGTCGTGCCTCTAGATGTCTTTCACGAGAAAGCGCATAACTCATCGACGATCAGTTCTTCATCCCCCCTGGTTATGACATGGCCTCGCTGAAGGAGAAGCCGTTCCATATCTACGACGACGAGTTCTACGATGTTATTGGAGCGAATCCCACGTTAACGCACATCGCGAACGCTGGAAAGAACCCTCTATACCACGAGGCTGTAGTGTGGTATCCTCCTACCGATGAAGTATTCTTCGTGCAAAGTGCCGGGCCCAAGGAAGCTGGAACAGGTCAGTCCAAGCACTCATACCTTGCCGACCTCGTCTCATCATCTTGTTGACTGACCTTTCCACGCAGGACTGAACAAGTCCGGCATCATTATGAAGATATCGGTACCGGAAGCTGACGCCGTTTCGAACAAGCGGAATGCGCTTGGTGCTGTCAAGGTTCAAACAATAGACTCCAATCCTACGGTCATAAACCCCAACGGTAAGTACGCCACGCCAATGGCCCGAGAGTATTTTGTCTGACCTGAGAGTGCAGGAGGAACCAACTACAAGGGCCAGATCCTGTTCGCGGGAGAAGGTCAAGGAGCCAATGTGGCGCCGGCACTCTTCGTGATGAACCCCCGGGAGCCGTATAATACCACAGGTTAGACTCACGACCGCAGGCGTAGACATCCTACTAACTCTCGATGCAAAGTTCTTCTCAACAACTACTTCGGCCGTCAGTTCAACTCCCTCAACGACGTGTACATCAACCCTCGCAACAACGATGTGTACTTCACGGACCCGCTGTACGGCTACCTCCAGGATTTCCGTCCCGTTCCTGGACTCCAAAACCAGGTGTATCGCTACAACGACAAGACCGGCGCCGTTACCGTCGTCGCGGACGGCTTCGCCGAGCCGAACGGTAAGGTTTCCCCGAATGGCAGTAATCGAACACTGCTCACATAATCATGTCACATAGGCCTCACCTTCTCTCCGAATGGACGCCATGCCTACGTCGCCGACACCGGAGCGAGTCGTGGTTTCTGGGGATGGAACATGTCCTACCCTGCCAGCATGTGAGTAACAAGCCGGCGTCCGTTGCGAATGGCCAGGGGCTGATCATAGATACCAGCTACCGCTTCGACGTTCAAGATGACGGAACCTGGGCGAACCGTAAAACATTCGCATACATTGACGCGGGAGTTCCAGACGGTATGTACTGCGTACGCCCGTCGGCGAGAAAGTGCAGATCTGATAACTGACCTCCTCTCCAGGACTTCACTGTGACAGCAAGGGCAATCTGTACGCAGGGTGTGGCGATGGCGTGCAGGTCTTCAACCCTTCCGGCACACTTATCGGCAAGATCTACCTCGGTGAGGTGTCGGCCAACTTCAATTTCGCGGGCGACGGGCGGATGGTCATCTGCGCAGAGGAGAACCTGTACTATGCGACCCTGGCAGCTTCGGGCGGTGCGTATATCGGGGGTTAGTTGAAGATACATACCGTAGATCAGCCCAGGAAGTGAATAATCTGGTTCTCAAATTGTAATGGCATGAAAATGACTCTGGATTGCCTCGTCAGAAAAGCGTGCACGATACGGGGCCTATTCCCTTGGTGATGCGTGACCTGTTACCGAATACCGGGTGGCTTAGAGTGGGAAGAGACCGCGAGACGCGGCACTTACACCATCGAACCGAGTCAACCCCGCATACCCCGTACTACCAGTATGTACCCCCGATACTCCAGCCAATGCCCCCACGGACCTAAATGACCGCGACTCATTCATAACTTATAAGGGGATCGTGACCTGGGGATCATTGCTGATGTCGTTTCCTCCAGATCTTCGAGCTGTTTGATTTTATTTTATTTTTTAGTACAAGATAGACCGAGCTGCGACCTGATTTCAATCCAAGAAACACCATCAACCCAGCCAGGAAGAAGAACAACAAGTACCACCACCACCACCACGATGGCGCCGACCCCCAAGAACATCATCATCACCGGCGCAGGCGGCCTCGTGGGCCCGCTGCTGGCGACGCGGCTGCTGAACGACCCCAGCTACCGGGTGGTGCTGACGGACATCGTGGAGCCCAAGGTACCGGGCGGGGTGAAGCACCCGGAGAACGCGACGTGCCTGCAGGGGGACATCAGCGACGGGGGGTTCGTGGCCAGGCTGCTGTCGGCGGCGGCGCCGCTGCACGCCATCTTCATCTTCCACGGCATCATGTCGGCGGGGTCGGAGGCGGACTACGACCTGTCGCTGAAGGTGAACGTGGGCAGCGTGCGGGACCTGCTGCTGGCCCTGCGCGCGCTGTGCCCGGGCGTGCGCGTCATCTACGCCTCCTCGCAGGCCGTCTACGGCCAGCCCCTGCCCAGCCTGGTCACCGACGACGTGACCGCCCACCCCGAGGGCACCTACGGCGCCCACAAGCTGCTGACCGAGGTCTTCCTCAACGACATGCACCGCAAGGGCTTCGTCGACGCCTTCGCCCTGCGCTTCCCCACCGTGGTGGTGCGGCCCGGGCGCCCCTCCAACGCCGCCTCCAGCTTCCTGTCCGGCATGATCCGCGAGCCCATGCACGGCCAGGAGTGCGTGATCCCGCTGCGGGACCGCGGCTTCCGCTCCTTCATCTGCTCGCCCAGCTCCCTGCAGGAGAACCTCGTGCGCGTCCTCCACATGGACAGCGACAAGCTGCCCCGCCACATCCGCCACATCAACATCCCCGGCCTGTCCGCCAGCACCCAGGAGCTCATGGACGGGCTGGCCAAGTACGGCGGCGAGGACAAGCTGAAGCTGCTGAAGGAGGAGACCAAGCCCGAGCTCGAGCGCATCCTGAGGAGCTGGCCCCAGGACTTCGATACCACCACCCCCCTCAAGTTGGGACTCATCAAGGACGAGCGCGCCGAGGATATCGTCAAGGAGTATATCGACTCGCTGAAGCCATGAATGAAGGAATGAATGAATAGCAGTGTACTAGGTAGTTAGCGCTTGTGTATTTATAAGACCGACATTTTCCTTATTCAACCGTGATATAATCACTCCAGTACTCCTCGCCATACCTCTCCTCCACCTCCCGAAAGCCGACGTCGGGCGCGTCGTACGGCCACGGGAAGCCGTTGCCGCTGGCGAACAGCGCCCACATCGTCCCGTCGAAGTCGGGGTTCATGATACTGGCCGGGAACCGCTTCACCCAGCGCACCTCCCCTCCCCCGACGGCGTACCCGAGCTGGTAATAGTACGGCCGGGCCTGGGCGTGGAGCGAGAAGCCGGGCGGGATGCGCGTCGCGTTCAGCGGCACCTCGGTGGTCTGCGTACGTATTCACGGGGTCACGTCAGCGCAGCCACCAGCAGATATAGGTAAAGTATATATATAAGGGTTACACACCTCGGGCCGCACATCCGGACTCGCAGCATCGACGGTCATGTCCACGAAAACACACATCGTCCCCTCCGCCGCCGCCGCCGCCCGCGCACACCCGCGCACCCCGACATCGACGTGCGTCTCGGCGCTGACGTACGCGCTCACGCCGACGGACTGATACCTGCCGAGCGCGCGGGCCGTGGGCAGCAGCTTGGCCGCGAAGGTCATGTTGAGGGAGATCTGCTTCCTCAGCAGCGCGGCGGGGGTATCGTGGTCGGAGAGGGTGTAGGGGTTCGGGCGGAGCCTTAGTTCCCCTCCCCCTCCCGCTTCTCCTCCCGCGCCGTCGCCACTTGTTACCAGCTCGTAGTTCGCCGTGTACGGCGAGCGCAGCTGGTACCAGCCCCTCCGCAGCGCCGGCCCCGCGAACGCGTCGCGGAACGCGGCCCGCGGCGGCGCCGGCAGGTCGGGCCCGAGGTCCGGCGTCTGCGAGAGCAGCAGCGGCCCGCCGCCGTTCAGCACCGGCCAGCCGTCCGCGGTCCAGGTGACGGGGACCAGGAAGGTCTCGCGGCCGAGGGGCGACCAGCCCGTGCCGACGGTGCGGCGCGCCAGCAGCGTCGCGAACCAGCGCCCGTCCGGCGTGGCCGCCAGCGTCGCGTGCCCGGGGCCCTGG